TGTGGTTTCACCAACACGGCAGCAAATCAAGCTGGCATTCTTTTCATCCATGCTCTCTTCACTCACGCAAAAGATTGTACGCCCAGTTGGACTGAAAGACAGTCGACCCTCTTCCATGCTGTAACTGGATCGTGGCACCTTCTGTCCTGTACGTCTGTTAAGGACTTCTCTTTAAAGAGCAAAACACACAAGAAATGCTTAGACTGGGAGGGTCGCGCCTCATTCTCGCTCCCAAGTGCTGGCGGCCACAATGATCTCCGGTTGCTTTAGCAAACCAGGCGAGGTGAAGATGTGCAAAGTGTAGCAGCATTTTTGTGTGCATGTTCAACGTGTAGAAAAGGACGTTCATGAAGCAAAGGTGTGAATGGATTGTCCACACTGCTCGAAGGGGTACAGTGAAGTGAGGCAGGGAAGTACGGCAACGTGAAGTAAAAGCATGCGCAACTGGAAAGATGAGACGAGAGCAAGTTGAGCAAAGTGGACGTGCAGTCGAGGACGGCTTCAACGACGTGATGGAGTCGACGACGGGTTGGTGAGCAGAAAGAGCACCACATGAGGAGGGTGAGCGGAAGAGGAGGCGTTGCTGTCGCCGGCAACTGCTCAAGCATTCATCAAAGTCTCCTTCAAGTCAGGCGGAGAGACGGAAAATGTACAGAGAAAGCGGACGAAAAGTGCAGTCTGCTGGTGGACAAGATTGGAAATAGATGTCGGAAAAGCCTAAAATGAGGTGGGATTGTACATGCTCGAAGGAAAGAGACTTTAAGTGACGCGATGTGTTGAGGCATTCCTTGCCCAACCAGCCGCTAAGTACAGACACAAACCTCCTCGTTTTTCTGTGCCTAACAAGTGTCGCAACAAACACCAAATAAACTTGCAGCTCCTCCGGTTCAGCTTGCAGCTCCTCTTCTTCTCTCGACTATCCTCAAACTGTGAATAAGCGACCAAGTGGCCTGTGTCATGAACTGATCCGGTCATTCGTGCCACATGAAAACGGCTCGTGGTCTACTTTCGTATTCATCGCATTGGCAAAAGGGCCAAATCGGAATCCTGCTCAGTCCAATTATTCCAGAAGAAAAGAAATAACAAGCGAGCATCATTTGGGATGAATTATTCTTGTTCATGTTGATTTCAAATCTATTCTGTATCCTGTGAATCACGATTTGCTGAGTAGCTCTCTTTTCACATGAGAAGTTGGCCCGATCTAAGAAGCATCATCAATCTTGTTTGATTGGGACAATCTGCTGCAATGGTTCTGTGGACCATGTACACAATAACACTTCGCCTGTATGAAGGTATGAGGACCAAGATGGTGTGGTCTTTTATGGTGTTCGAAGTCTCCTTTCGTTGTATAGAATTAGTTTGAGCTTGTTTTCGCAACTTGGTCAGGTTGGTTGGAAGAATGAGAGGAACGCACCTTATCCGGAGTCCATTGTATGCATCATCATTTCCAGAGTATGACCGTGGACGTGGTACATGCACACACGATTCGCCGGCATCGTCAGTGCGTTTTTCCAGTCTTAGCACCACACATCTTGTCAAAGAGACAAGTGAAGCCCATCCTTAGATGATATCTCTCCATCTGCCTTGGGATATTGACATTTCCCATATCCTCCTGACACATCAACAACCGAAACATAGGAGCAGATTGGCTGGTCAATAGACTAATAGTCAACATTAAGCATGGAGCAATACACAAACTGTCGAAATTTATTTGTTTGAAGCTCAGGATAGTAAATGACAGACTTTCGAATACCGTGAAGAATTCATATCAATTTTCTCAAAGGGTCTAGAACATTTGGTTGGTGGGTTTTAACTGTTGGTGA